ACTTTCCAAAGGAAAACATCATAGCATAGTTGATTGTCACTTGGAACACCCACGTCCCATATCTGATTGTCTGTGACCAAGTCCTGCCTCTGATTCTGATAGAGCTTCCTTCTAATATGCACCCTGAAAGACAGAGATGATGGCTCAAGTACTTGGTTCCTTGCCACACACATATGATACCTGGATGGAATTCCTGGCTCTTCCTGGCTATTGCAGGAATTGGGGGAGTGAACCAGCAGATTTCTCTCTCACACACACACACACTTTTGTTCTCACTCTCTTGTTCTTTCAAATAAATAAAAATAAATAAATAAAATTATTAAAATCATTTCCTACTTTTTGAAAGTCACCCTTTCCCAAAGATAGAGGTCATGGCCCATTGTCAATCTAATTTTTATGTGATATTTTGGCCTCCCATATGCATCATTCCCTTGTGTCTTTAGTAAACTTGGCAAAACCAATAAGGGGTAGACCAGAATTATTTTATTCCCCCCCACACAATGAGCCAGCAATGATGGTGAAGCCATCATTTTTTCTGCCAGTGCTTCAACTATATTAACACACTCTTAGAATAAGCAAATATTATTGTTATTTGATGCTCCAGAAAGTCATCAAGCAAAATGCCTTGGGCATCCAAAAGGCTGTTGCCATGACCTTTGGTATTGACCAGTCCACTTTTTTTTTTTCTGTACTACCACCACCTCCCAGTAGCCATGGCTGCCAACCCTAAAGACAAGAGATCACACTAGGAAAGGCATGTTTCATCTCCTGTGTCAATTCTTGAAGAAATGCTTCAAGATTTTTATCTAACTTGTTTAAAATTTCCACTGAAAGCTCTGCTCTTTATCTACATCTGGTCTGGGTACAATAGTCTGGGCACCTGTCGCTCCCCCTCTTCATGGAGGAACGACACAGGACCCTGCGCTGTTCTTTCGTCTGCTCGGCCCTCCCCGGGTTTGCTGCTGGTTCTTCCCGGGTTGGCTACTATCCCTTCCACCTCCGTGGAAGGGCAGTTCCCCCTGGCCACATTCCCCACTTCCGCAGGGGAGTGGCACACCGCCGGCCGGCTCTTCTCGGGGGCTGCACAGGTGTTCCTTCAGCTAGATGTTCCCCATAGATGTTCCTGGTGCATGCCGTCTCTCTCCTCCTTTATAGTCCTCCTCCGCCAATCCTAACTCGGCTGCCCACACGCCGAGTACGCTGCTCTCCAATCAGGAGCAAGTCCTACAGTTTATTGGTTGAACTGGAGGCAGCTGGGTAGAAGCTGTTTTCTCCTCTCCCAGCGCCATATTGTAGGAGAGCAGATGCATAGAATAAGTCTTAATTCCAGTAACTTAGTCTAGTCCGAGCTGCTCCCCACAGAGGAGAGCAGATGCATAGAATAAGTCTTAATTCCAGTAACTTAGTCTAGTCCGAGCTGCTCCCCACAGGCACCCGTTGAGCAGAAAGTTTGTTCCTTTTTAATTTTTCAATTAAAATTGAAAGTCAGCTGAACTAATGGAGATGTCTATGATGTTGGCTATTATTTACCTTATTAATCATCAGTCCTCTTCAATTAGGTCATGAACAAAATTAACTTTTTTCCTCTCAAGTTGATATGGATAGTCTGCTTCTGCAAGCTTCAACTTCAGCATAGACTCATCCCTTCATAGAGCAAATTACAATGTTCACCATCACTAGCCATCAGGGCAGTGCAAATCAAAACCATAATGAGGTATCACCTTGCCCCTGTCAGAATGGCTATTATCCAAAAGGCAGAGATTAACAAATGTTGACAAGGATATGGAGAAAGAGAAATTTTTTACACTGCTGGTGAGAATGTAAATTATTGCAGCCACTATAGAAAACAGCATGGGAATTTCTTAAAAGCTAGAAATAGACTTGTCCTGTGATCCAGCCATCCTACTACTGGGGTATACACGAAAAAGACGTGAATAAAGGCCAGTGCCGTGGCTCACTCGGCTAATCCTCCTCCTGCAGCGCCGGCACACTGGGTTCTAGTCCCGGTTGGGGGCTCTCTCTCTCTCTCTCATTGTCTAACTCTGCCTGTGAAAAAGAAAAAAAAAAATAAAAAAAGGTGTGAATACATTGTATGAAAAAGATACCAGCACCACCATGTTTATAGTAGCACTGGAATATTATTCAGCTGTGGAAAAGAATGAAATTCTATCATTTGCATCAAAATTAATTAATATGATTAATTATTAATCATATTAATTAATAATTAATTAATATGACTGGTTTAATTCTGTAATTAATACACAGTTATTCTTAAGTGTTGAAATTTAACTGAAATGTGATCCCTGTTAAACATAAGAGTAGGAATAAGAGAGGGAAGAGATATATAATTTGGGACATGCTCAAGCTGACTTGCCCCAAATGGTAGAGTTAGAAAAATACCAGGGGACTCCAATTTAATCCCATCAAGGTGGCATGTACCAATGCCATCTCACTAGTCCAAGTGATCAATTTCAGTTCACAATTGATCATAATGAAAGGACTAAGAGTCAAAGGGAGCACATAAGCAAGTCTAGTACCTGCTAACACTAACCGATAGAATAAATAAAGGGGAGAGTGATCCAACATGGGAAGTGAGATACTCAGCAGACTCATAGAATGGCAGATGTCCTAAATAGCACTCTGGCCTCAGAATCAGCCCTAAAGGCATTCGGATCTGGCTGAAAAGCCCATGAGAGTATTTCAGGCATGGAAAGCCAAGACACTCTGGCAAAAGATCTCTGTGAGTGAGATCTCAGTGGAAAGAACAGGTCTTCAAAGAGGGAGGTACCTTTCTCTGAAGGGAGGAGAGAACCTCCACTTTGACTATGACCTTGTCTAAACAAGATAAGAATCGGAGAACTCAGAAGGCTTCCATAGCCTTGGAAACTCATGACTGGAGCATAGGGAGATTACTGATGCCATAGACAGGAATGTCAATTGGTAAAGTCAACAACAGGAGTCACTGTGCACTTACTCCTCATGTAGGATCTCTGTCCTTAATGTGCTGTGCATTGAGATTTAATGCTATAACGAGTACTCAAACAATATATTTCACTTTGTGTCTCTATGGGGGTGCAAACTGTTGAAATCTTTACTTAATGCATACTAAACTGATCCTCTGTAAAAAAAAAAAAAAAAAAGAAAAAGAAAAAGAAAAGAAAAGAAAAGAAACTATCAACTCCCAACTTGACTCTCACTGGGATTAAACATGACAATAGGTCTGATCTGATTTCATCATCATTAAAAAAAAAATCATCTATTATTTTTCACTTTATGTTTCTGTGTGGGAGCAAACTGTTGAAATCCTTACTTAAGGTATACTAAGCTGATCTTCTGTATATTAAGATAATTGAAAATGAATCTTGATGTGAATGGAAGGGGAGAGGGAGTGGGAAAGGGGAGGGTTGTGGGTGGGAGGGACGGTATGGGGGGGAAGCCATAGTAATCCATTATTCGTACTTTGGAAACGTATATTCATTAAATAAAAGTTTTTAAAAAAAAAAAATTGTTGTCACTGGAGGACATCATGTTGAGTGAAACAAGCTGGACCCAGAAAGACATGTATCACATATCACATGTATTTGTTATATGTGGGAAATAAAAGTTTTTAAAAAGTCAAAAACAAAAAAGAAATGCCTATGTGTATCAGGGTTGCTGTAAATCTAGTTTTATCACACTTTGTTTTATATCTTTGTCAAACGAATTGTTAAGAATGATATAACACTACAGTTTTAATGATCTGTGATTATTTTTAAACTGACCATAAATGAGTGAAATTGACATCTTTTCATTGGATTATTATTAACAGCTCTTGCTATATTCCTGCTGAACTATGGACTTTTTACTATTTTCTTGTCAAAGTCTTTATTTATGGGCATTAAGCCTTTGACTATAATGTAAATTGAAAATATCTCAAAAATAGGGAAAAAAATCAAGTTATCCATTTGTGTATGATTGGATCCTTTGGGGCACCTGTGTATTATTGGTTCCATAAACTTTTCATAAAGTATAAATTATTCACATTTCTTCCACTCAAAGTGCACCCTAAATTTGATATTCATTCCTCAATTTTAGCATAATTCATATTGGTCTGATAAAGGTGGTTTTCAAACTGACACATGATCCTTCTTGGTGCCTTAAACTAGATCCTATTCACCATGTTAAAAACATTTGATTTGGGCCAGCGCTGCGGCTCATTAGGCTAATCCTCCACCTGCGGTGCCAGCACCCCGGTTCTAGTCCCAGTTGGGGCGCCGGATTCTGTCCCAGTTGCTCCTCTTCAAGTCCAGCTCTCTGCTGTGGCCCAGGAAGGCAGTGGAGGATGGTCCAAGTGCTTGGGCCCTGCACCTGCATGGGAGACCAGGAGAAGCACCTGGCTCCTGGCTTCAGATCGGCTCAGTGCGCCGGCTGTGGCGGCCATTTGTGGGGTGAACAAACAGAAGGAAGACCTTTCTCTCTGTCTCTCTCACTGTCTAACTCTGCCTGTCAAAAAAAAAAAATATATATATATATATTTGGTTTGGGGCCAGCGCTGTGGCGTAACAGGTAAAGCCACCTCCTGCAGTGTTAGTATCCCATATGGGTAGTTCCAGTCCCAGCTGCTCTACTTCTAATCCTGCTCCCTGCTGGTGCACCTGGGAAAGCAGTGGAATACCGCCCAAGTGCTTGGGCCCCTGCACCCACATGGGAGACCTGGCTCCTAGCTTTGGCCTAGCCCAGCTCTAGCCATTGCAGCCATTTGGGGAGTGAACCAACAGATAGAAGTTCTCTCTCTCTCCTCTCTCTGTAACTCTTCCTTTCAAATGAAAAAAAAAGTTGGTTCGAGTTTACTTTGGTGCAAATTTTTAACATCCAGCAGAGGTTTTTCATAATATCCATTTTGTATACATTTTTAAAGATTCCTCTTACCAGTTAGAAGTGGTTATTTGTCTTCTTTGGTGCCTGGTGATCCTCAGTGCCCCCAACATTGTCTAGCAGATGATGTGTTTACTAGAGGACAAAATAAAGCATGGTTTGTGCTCATGATTTGTGCTAGATCCTGCTCTTACCTTGTTTAGCAGTCCCTTGTGTTTTTCCTTAGAGCAGAGACATGCTTGCAGAGCTTTCCATGTTGACAGCAATCATTCAGCAAAAGAGACAACCATAGCAACACATCAGTGATATTTAATGATGGAATAGCTATCACAGCCTGTGGATTACAGTTTCTTACACTTATCACAAATTAGTTGTATTCCATGAGGGTAAGCAAGAAGGAAGTAGGTATATTTCCCATGTGTTTATCTTTTAAGACATACATAATTGAAAAAAATCACTACATTTTCAGAGAAAACCTTAACCTAGAGTTCACTGATTAACCTATGGGTGGTTCTCAGGTAATTGCAGGGGAATTCAGCACTCAGTCTTTGTGGGGTTGGCCTCTTGCTTTGTTGGCACTCCTGGCTGGCTGACTGGCTGGCTATGCTGACAGTGCAAGTGAAGGGATTATTAGATTGACCACATGCCCTCTGCTTTTGTTTCTTTGTATTTGTTTTGTTTTAGGATAGAGATAGGAAAGTTGACTGGGGCCCCAGAGATCTATGAAAAAAAAAAAGGAAAGAAAGAAAGAAAAGAAGGAGGAGGGGAGAGAAATTTGCAGTGATAGAATTTTCTGCCATAAGAGTCATGAGAGAATACAGGAGTTTCATCTGGCAGAAGGAAACTGGCAATGTGGGTCAAGAGTAAACCTGTAGGGATGCCAAGGTAACATCTCCTGAGACATGTCTCTAAATTACATCAAAAACTTCTATGAAGGATGTGTAAGTATATAACAAACAAAACAAATCCATCTTATGAGTCTTGTCTGTATTTCAAACTGATTTGCATGATTGTTGATGAGTATCTCTATAAACAGAAAAATTCAGGAAGTACTTTTAGCTGTTGGTGTTTTAAAGTAGTTTATGCTCTCAATTCCATAACTAACAAGTAGAATAAAAGCTATCATGATAATTAATAAGCATTATCTGCTTGTTCTGACAGTATGTATACTGAGTTTAATACTGAATTTTTAGATCTAATTTTCTTTTAAAAGGATTGGACATTCTAAGATTCTAATAACTTGATTTCCAAGAAATGACAGGGGTAGGGATATTAATTGAATTCATGATTGTTTAAATATTTCCATAATTACACATTTGATGGACAATATGTCACTATTCATCTGTTGCATTTCATAATCTAAAGTGAAATTTGAGTGAAAAGGTTTGTATTTGACTTGATGATCTCTAAGGGCCTATCATGATTCAAACCGTCTTGAATCTTAAATTATAAAAATGTGATAATGAAGAGAGACTTAAAATGTGCTCTTCAATGTTTCTTTTCCTAAAGTTTTTTTTTCCTCCTAAAACCATAACAGGTTAAACCTCCGACTGTGATTGGCCAATTCCACACCCTTTTCTTTGGATCTGTCCGAATGTTCTTTCTTGGGGTGCTAGGCTTTGCAGTTTATGGGAATGAGGCTTTGCACTTCAGTTGTGATCCAGACAAAAGAGAAGTAAACCTCTTCTGTTACAATCAGTTCAGGCCAATCACTCCACAAGTAAGTTTTCCTGTGGGGTCATGAACATTGACTCAGCAAGCAATACAGGTTTTGTTTTTTTTTGTTTTTGTTTTTTTTTTGCAATACAGTTTTTAGCTTTCTAATGTAAAATATGTCATAATTAGATGAGGAATACTCTAACAGGTACTATTTTTATAATTATGCTACTTTTTCTCTAACTAGTTGCATGTTACAAATAAATTAATTTGAGGTGGTCAGGACTTTCAACTACAGCATTCTACTATCTGTTGATGTTGTTACCATTATACTCCATATATTTCTAGATACGTTATATTTATACATTAATGTTATATAATGTTATATTATATATATTATGTTATGCAATATTATACATTATTGTTACATTATACTCCATATTTCTAGATAGAAAGTACATAACCACTAAAACAAATCATTTCACTATTATCAGTAATAGTATAGGCAATGACAGTAAAACGACTATATTTTCAAAACTGCCATACGTTTAAAATTTTAAACATCTTACTAAATAAATGAGATATGTTTAACTTTATTACCTTCTCTGTATTACTTTACTGCTTATAACATTTTTACAAAACCAAAATTTTCAAATTAACCTCTATTGAGTCAGTGAATTGTTTTTAGTGTACTCTTGGTTCCACATTGATTAATTAATTTGACTAAGATATTTCTGGCATCTTTAGGTATTCTGGGCATTGCAACTAGTGATTGTCCTGGTTCCTGGAGCCATTTTCCATCTTTATGCTGCATGTAAAAGCATCAATCAAGAATGCATTCTTCAAAAGCCCATCTATACTGTGATATATATTCTCTCAGTTTTATTAAGAATTAGCTTAGAGGTAATAGCATTTTGGCTTCAGATTCACCTCTTTGGTTTCCAAGTAAAACCTCTTTTCCTGTGTGATGCTGGATCTCTTGGGGGGAAATTGACTATTATAAGATGCATGGTTCCAGAACACTTTGAAAAGACCATTTTTCTCATTGCTATGTATACATTTACTGTAATTACAATTATATTATGTATTGCTGAAGTTTTTGAGATCATATTTAGAAGATTATGCTTTCTAATTAGGCAATGACCAAAGGGTTGTTTAACTGTTATCATGCCACATTTACTTATAATTCATTTTATTTAGTTTGTTTTATTCATTGAGTATCCCAATTTAAAACACAACTATCTGTTCTTTAAACTTACTTTAGTTGTATGAAATTTATGTCAACTATAAAACATTAATACTAAGTTCTAAGATAGTGTTCCTTGAAAAAAAACACTTAATTTTAATTTTGTCACTTATTTTATTGGAATAAATACATAGAGGCAATGTTAACTCATTTTTAAGCAGTGCTTTCAGAGAGACCTTTCACATAGAGCATATTCATTGATCACAGTGTTTTGTGGTTAGAGAAAATTTTATTATATTAATTAATTGATTAATTATATTATTAAAGTTGATATTCAGGAAGATTAATTTATGTGCCTGAAGTCATACAACCAGACTAGGCTCCAGAGCTTCCTATTCCCTTTCCACTGAGCCATGCAGTGTTCACTTTGAAGATGAAACCATTTTCTCATTCATGTAAATTGTGATTTAAGTAAAAAGTTAGAAATTAGTTACTAAAGAGTAATTCTATATTTTGGTCACTAACTTGAAGAAATGGAAAAATTGTATTTTAGTATTATAATCCTGTTTTCTTGAAATTTTTAGTATCAAGTGGAATGGAAATATAACCAGAGAATAAATTGTAAATGCTATGGATTATATTGTGCATGGGTTCCTTGTTTATTGTTGGTAAAAGAGAAAAAGGAAAAACCTCTATGTCCTTAGATATACTGTAACAATAGCTTCTATATTCAATGTTATTGAAATGGAAAATTATGCTGATATTAAGTTATATATCTTCAATAGCTAAGAAGTTATTTCAAAGACAGTTTCATATTAATTCAATGTGTTTCTTTTTATCTGCATGCCTTACCAACAATCATCTTATCATCTTCATTTTGTATCATTTAAAATCTTTATGTGTTACTGCATTATACTGGTGCCTGCCTAAGAAAAGGATAGTCCGCCGCGCTATAGCTAATCTCGCTGCAGATCGCCACCGGATCTAGTCTGATCGGGTGCCAGATTCTGTTCCGGTTGCTCCTCTTCCAGGCCAGCTCTCTGCTGTGGCCTGGGAGTGCAGTGGAGGATGGCCCAAGTGCTTGGGCCCTGCACCCGCATGGGAGACCAGGAGAAGCACCTGGCTCCTGGCTTTGGATCAGTGCGGTGCGCCAGCTGCAGCGCGCCGGCTGCAGCGGCCATTGCAGGGTGAACCAATGGCAAAAGGAAGACCTTTCTCTCTGTCTCTCTCTCTCACTGTCCACTCTGCCTGTCAAAAAAAAAAAAATTAAAAAGAAAAGAAAAGGATAGTCAAATACTGAGGTTTTCAATTTTTTTTATCTTTCATTCTTCAGTCTATTTTTGATATTATGAATTTGTGGATTTAGAATTTTTAAATCATTGCATTTTCTCCACATAAAAGTGCAGGAAAGAATCCAATTTGTATCCATTCAACAAGTGCCTCTGAGGATATATTATTTAGCATGTACTGCATTGACAGTCCAAATATAAGGATAACCAAGATGTAGTTATTTTTATCAGACCACATCATAGTGGGTGGATATGGTGTGCCAAGATAGTAGGAACTGATGCAAATAGCCTTCCCTGAAGGGAAAAAAAAAAAAAAAAACTATTTAGTTACCGTCTTGTATTTAGAATCACTTATGGTTCGTGTTAATAAACACCATTAATCTATTTCATTTAAATAAACATTATTATACTTAAATTGTCTGCAGATAATAGACTCCTTTATTGCCTGAATCCAAGGGAGATTTCTCCCACCCTTCTTCCCACAAACACACATATCATCATTACGGGAGATACTTTCCTCCCTGCATCTTTTCAAGGCTTAGTAATTTTTGGTTGAATGTCAGATATCGTGGGTTTTACCTCGATGGAAGCTGGGGTTTTTCCTAATCATAAATATTCTTAATATTTATTTTGGGACACAATTAAGTTATTTGGAAAAAGATGGTCCTGTTTGTTTGTTTTTAAGCTTTGCTAGATAGAATCAGTGTAGTTTTTACCAAAGGGCTAAATTTGCTTCATTACTAAGACAAATCCTTTCTGAGTGATTTATCAGGTGTCCCTTTGCTGGTTTGGAAATCCTGTCCTTCCAGTATTCTCAAAGTCTTGAATTTCATCCTCATACTGGTTGGCTCATAGTTGCTAGATGAATGGATGTATGTACAAGAAGGAAGTCTTCTCTGCATCCAAGGGAAAAAAATGGAGAGGGATAAAGACATTATCTTGGCCTGCTTTTCAGGATTTTTTACAGGGAAGATATTTTTTCTAAACACCCCCTAACGTCATTGCCATTCATAGATGAACACTCTGATATACTCTTATTCATTCTTGAGAGTCGGCCATTGTTAAAGTATGCCCCTTTATTAAGAAATTTTCCACTCTGGCTACTGGAAACAGCTACTATTCTCAGTGTCCTCTGTGAATCATGAGTTCAGTTCATTTTAATCCTTTCCTGATGTTCTTTTCCAAGAAACATCTTTAAAGGCGTTGCACTGATCAGAATTCAGGTGAAGATGCATTGGAAATCTCTGGAGTTCTCTTGCTTTGCTGCTCTCCCCTGGGTTTCAGTCTGCCCTTTGAAACCCAGCCTCCCCGACATCCCTGGACTCCTCCACAGGTAAGGCGGAAGGATAGGATATCAAAGCCCCAAAAGAACACTGCTTACCTCCACTTCCAATGGCACTGCCATGGTCTGAATTCCCTGCCCCCACCAATTCATGTTGGCAACTTAATTCCCAGCGCAACCATATTGAGAAGTGTGACTTTTAAGAGATGATTACATCATGAGGGGTCTGTCCCCAGAAAGGAGTAATGTTGTTATTGAAGGAGTGAATTTGTTACTGCAAGATTGGGTTTATTGTAATAGGCAGTTCAATTTTCTGTCTCTCTCTCTCTCCCTCTCTCTCTCTCTGATGATGCCACTGTGTGGTGCCTTCCATTGTGTTATGATACTACAAGAAGGCTCTCACTAGATGTCTTCCCTTTTTTCTTAGGCTTCCAAGAATTCAGAATTGTAAAAATAATAAATTCTTGTCTTTATAAACACCTAGTCAGTGGTGTTCTGTTATAGCAACACAGAAAGGACTAACACAAGTACATATTTTTATAGTCAAAGATGTATATAAAGTGAAAATACTAGATTAAATTATTTGCTGATCTATTATACTACAGTTATATTTTGTTAGTAACTGTATCAGGGTTGGTAACACACAGCCATATGATCGTAGACAATAAATGCTATATAAAATTGTTTCATATATAAAAACCTAATTTATCTGACAAAAATACAAATATAATAAAAACTGAGTGTCAAAACTAAATAAATATCCAACCATTTAAAGATATATTTAAAACTATTTAATAAAAATTATTGGGTCAAATAAAGTCAAGATGAAGTTTTTCAGGCTATTTATAAATGAAACACACTCACAGGCTACACAGTTAACACTCAAGAGATTTGGAAAATTTGTAGTGTACAGATAATTGACAGCTGAAGATAAATCCACTGTGAAAAAAGAAGCAGCATAATTCAAAAGCAGACATAAGAACTTTAAAATAGGAGCAAGTATTGTGGGGCAGCAGGTAAACCCACTGCCTGCAACATCAGCATTCCATATGGGTACTGTGTTGAGTCCTGGCAGCTCCTCTTTCTGATCCAGCTCACTGCTAATGGCCTGCGAAGGTCAGCAGAAGATGGTTCAAGTACTTGGCCTACTTCCACCAATGTGGAAGACCCAGATGAAGCTTCTGGCTTCTGACTTTGACCTGGCTCAGCCATGGCTACTGCAGCCATTTGGGGAACAAACCTGTGGGTAGAAGATCTCTCTCTGTCTCCCTCTTTCTCTCTGACTTTCAAAAGCAAAAAAGGAAAGAAGAAGAAGAGGAAGAGGAAGAAAAGAAAGAAAAAAGATTTCAAAATAAAACTAAGAAGAATAAAAATAATTTAATAAAGATATTGGCAAAAAAGTCATACATTAGAAAAATAACAATAGATAAATCCATGATGGCTCTTTAAAATAAATAAAATAAGTAAGACTGGCAAATGAAATCAAGAAAGTAATAGATTATTAAGATTATTATAATTATATATATATATATATAAAGTATATCACTGGGAGCACATTTTATTTATTTTGTGTGTGTGTGTGTTTTATATTTTATTTAATGAACATAAATTTCCAAAGTACAGCTTATGGATTACAATAGCTCCCCCCCACCATAACTTCCCTCCCACCCACAACACTCCCCTCTCCCACTCCCTCCCCCCTTCCATTCACATCAAGATTAACTTTCAATTATCTTTATATACAGAAGATCAATTTAGCATATATTAAGTAAAGATTTCAACAGTTTGCACCCACACAGAAACACTAAGTGTAAAATACTATTTGAGTACTAGTTATAGTATTAATTAAACACCTAAGAGTAATTGTGTATTAATTACAGAGTTCAACCAATAGTTTTAAGTAGAACATAAAAAATACTAAAAGGGTAAAGTATTAAGTTCTTTTTTTTTCTTTTTCTTTTTTTTGTTTTTATATAGTTTTTTTTATTTAATAAATGTGAATTTACAAAGTGCAACTTTTGTATTGTTGTGGCTTCCCCCCCCAACCTCACTCCCTCCCGTGGCCCTCCCCTCTCCGACTCCCTCTCCCATCCAGCCCTTCATCGAGTTTCATTTTCAATTACCTTCCTATACTGAAGATCAACTTAGTATATACTAAGTAAGGATTTCAACAGGCTGCACTCACACAACCGCACAAGGTAGAGGGTATTGTTCGACTAGTAGTGTTGTTTTTAGGTTTCATAGTAGAACACATTAAGGACAGAGATCCTACGTGGGGAGCATGTACCCAGTGACTCCCATTGTTGATTTAACAATTGGCACTCTTATTTATGACGTCAGCAATCACCCGAGACTCTTGCTATGAGCTGTCTAGGCTATGGAAGCCCCTTGAGTTCACCGACTCCGAAACTTGTTTAGCCAAGGCCATATCACAGTGGAGGTTCCTTCCTCCCTTCAGAGAAAGGCGCCTCTCTCTTTGATGGCCTGTTCTTCTGCTGGGGTCTTGTTCACCAGGATCTTTCATTTAGATTGTTTTTTGCCACCGTGTCATGGCTTTCCATGCCTGCGAGACTCTCATGGACCTTTTAGCCAGATCCGAATGTCCCAAGGGTTGATTCTGAGGCAGGAGTGCTGCCATTCTATGAGTCTGCTGTGTGTCCTGTTTCCTCCGCAGGATCATTCTCTGGGAGCACATTTTAATAATTTAAAGATGTACACTGTAAAATGTAAGACAAACAAGCAAAACAAAGTGACATGATATTTACTAATAAGCTAACAAAATAAATTAAATAGAATCATAAAACATTCAATTAATACAAAAGATAGCAGAAAAGAGATTAACAAAAACAGTTGAGATAAATACAGAACAATAATAAGGCAGTAGACCTAAACCCAAACATATCAATATTACAATAAATATAGAAGGTCTTGAGACCTAAATAAAACAGATATTATCTGAAAGTATTTTTATATCATACCAAATTATCAAGACCCTCATCTTAAATATTTTTAAATATTTAAAGATTTAAGATTTAAGGCTGGCGCCGTGGCTCACTAGGCCAATCCTCTGCCTGCTCGCCAGCACACCGGGTTCTAGTCCTGGTTGGGGCGCCAGATTCTGTCCCGATTGCCCCTCTTCTAGGCCAGCTCTCTGCTGTGGACCAGGAGTGCAGTGGAGGATGGCCCAAGTGCTTGGGCCCTGCACCCGCATGGCAGACCAGGATAAGCACCTGGCTCCTGCCATCGGATCAGCATGGTGCGCCGGCCGGCCGCAGCAGCTATTGGGGGATCAACCAATGGAAAGAAGACCTTTCTCTCTGTCTCTTTCTCTCTCACTGTCCACTCTGCCTGTCAAAAAAAAAAAAAAATTAAG